TCTAAAATGCCAGTTCATGGAACAGGCATTTCTTTCTTCTCCTTCTATCCATTTATGTGGTAGTTTTCGTGTATTTCTGGCTGGATGTCACAGACAAAGGCCAAGAGGTTATCCAAGGCTTCATCTCTGTTCTGACTGAAGTAGGTCTGGAGGATGGTCATCTTCTCCTGGGTCTCCTCCACTTCAGTGCTGCAACTGCCATGTGATCCCAGTGCCGAAGCTTCCTTGGCCTTGAACTCCTTCTCCCTCTGCAGGCGGTACTGTTCAATTTCAGCCTGAGCCTCTTCTTTGGCCTGCTTCAGTAGCCGGTTCTTTCGCTTGCGGGCCTCAGACACCTTCTCGGTGGCCGCTTCTCAGCCTGCAGTAGCTGCTGGATCCCCTGTGACTGACTGGCCATGGCGGCTGCAACTCTGAAGCCAAGGCAAGCAGCCTAACTCAGCTCCAAGATCCCTTGGGTCAACTCTGATATGCTTTTATGTAAAGAAAATCCTAAGGAATCTACACACAAAAAAACTATTAGAACTAATAAGTGAGTTTAGCAAGGTTACAGTATACAAGATCAATACACAACAAATTGGTTATATTTCTATATACTAACAATGGACAATCCAAAAATGGAATTAAGAAAGCAATAACGTTTACATTTACAAATAGTATCAAAAAGAATAAAATACTTAAAAATAAATTTAACAAAAGAAGTGCACTTATATAACAAAAAGTATAAAAACTATAAAACATCATTGAAATAAATTAAAGAAGACCTAAATAAATGGAAAGACATCCTATGTTTATGCATCAGAAGACTTAATATTGCTAAGATGGCAATACTTCCCAAATCAATCTACGGATTCAGTGCAAACACTATAAAAAAATCCTAGCTTGTCTTTTTGCTGAAATAGATAAACTGATTCTAAATTTCATATGGAATGCAAGAGACCCAGAATAGACAAAATGAGCTTTAAAAAGAAGAAAATTGTTGGAGGACTCATACTTCCTGATTTCACAACTTATGACAAAGCTATAGTAATTAAGACAGTATGGTACTGGCATAAGGACAGATACATAGATCAACAGAATAGACTTGAGAGTTTACAAATTAATCCTTACATTTATGGTCAGTTGATTTTCCAAAGACTGAGAAGACAGTTGGACAATGGGAACAGAATAGTATCTTCAACAAATGGTGCTGGGACAACGGGGAATCCACATGTAAAAGAATGAAGTTGTACCTCTACCTCAGACCATATAGAGAAATTAACTCAAAATGAATCAAAGATCTAAATGTAAGAGCTAAAACTGTAAAACTCTTAGAAAAAACATGTTTAATTCTTTATGTCCTTGGATTAGGCAATAGTTTCTTAAATATGACACCAAAACCACAAGCAACCAAAGAAAACATAAATTAAAATTTACCTAGTCGTTATTTCAATAAAACAACTCTTGTGCTTCAAAGAACACCATCAGGAAAGTGACAGATAACCAGGAGAATGGGAGAAAATATTTGCAAATCATATATTTAGAGAAGGGACTTGTACAGAATGGTTACAACTCAATAATAAAAAGACAAACAGCCAAATTTTAAAATGGGCAAATGACCTGAATAGATGGTTCTCCAAAGAGGATATAAAAGTGAACAAAAAGCACATGAAAATATGCTTGACATCATTAATCATCAGAGAAGTGTAAATGAAAACCTCAATGTGATACCACTTCTTGACTACTAGGGGGCTATAATAAAAAAGACAGAGAATGACAAGTATTAGTGAGGATGTGAAATATGGAACCCTCACACACTGCTGGTGGAAATGTAAAATGGCATAGCTACTTTGGAGAACAGACTAGTAGTTCCTCAATAGATTAAACAGAGTTACCATATGACCCAGCAAATCCACTCCTAGGTATTTACCTGAGAACTGAAGACATATGTTCACATAAAATCTTGTACATAAATGTTCATAGCAGCATTATTCATATTAGCTAAAAAGTAGATACAACCCAAATGTCCATCAACTGGTGAATGGATAAACAGAATATGGCATATCCACACAATGGAATATCATTCCAGGAATGAAGTACTGATACATGCTATAACATGGATGAACCTTGAAAATATGCTAAATGAAAGAAGCAAAACACAAAAGGCCACACATTTATATGAAATGTCCAAGGTAGGCAAATCCATAGAGACAATGCAGATTCATGGTTGCCAGGGGCTGAGGGAAGGGGGCTTGGGGAGTGACTGTTAATAGGTGTGAGGATTCTTTTGGGGGGTGACAAAACTATTCCAGAATTAGATAGTGGTGGTTGATGCACAACTTTGTGAATGTGTTGAAAACCACTGAACTGTACACTTTATTTTTTTATTTTTTTGAGACAGAGTCTCACTGTGTTGCCTGGGCTAGAGTGCTGTGGCATCAGCCTAGCTCACAGCAACCTCTAACTCCTGGGCTCAAGCGATCCTTCTGCCTCAGCCTCCCGAGTAGCTGGGACTACAGGCATGTGCCACTGTGCCTGGCTAATCTTTTCTATATATATTTTTAGTTGGCCAATTAATTCCTTCCTATTTTTAGTAGAGATGAGGGTCTTGCTCTTGCTCAGGCTGGTTTCAAACTCCTGACCTTGAGCGATCCTTCCGCCTTGGCCTCCCAGAGTCCTAGGATTACAGGTGTGAGCCACCATGCCTGGCTGAACTGTACACTTTATAAGGGTGAATTTTATGGTATGTAAATTTTATTTTTTAAAAAAGCAATGAGTCCCAAAATGGAAATAGTACCTCCTCACATGCCAGAGAATAAGTAAGAATCTGGGCTCCAGAGGCCATAGCAAGTCCTTCTATACAGTGATAATGAGAGAGGTGGCTCCTGAGCCATTGGGGACTGAGGAGAGGTGGGCACGACTGCATGTTTGACCAGGTGGAGCAGCAGAACTGTGGGGCACTAAGATATGTGGTGAGAGCAGCAGCAAGAATCCTGGGACACAGGCAGTGCTGTGGCTGATCTGTGAGATGCACCTCTCTTTGGAGACACCCAGTGAGATATGAGAAGGAAGGAGAGTGGAAGTCCTGCCATTTGGTTCATGGGGGAATACTGAACCCCACACTTGGAGACACTTTTGAAGTGACTTGTACAGGTGCCACAAAATAGTGGAGCCTGGGAGACATTTTAGTCATTATTTAGCTACAACCATAGTTAAGAATGCTGGATCACATAAAAATAAACCATCTGTTTGTAGAATGACTGCACAACATGCCTTTAGTGACAGTGATATTTCCAGAAATTATCTGTCAGATTGTTCAAGCCTAGACTATATAAAGGCAAATATTTTCATGTCATTGGATTATATTTGTTATAATCCATAATACCAATTGTACATCTTGCCTAATACAAAGGGATCCTTGTGGTTAATAATTGATTCGAGGTGATAACATTGTATAGAGAAATGGAGGTGTGGGTATGGAGGAGAGAAAAACAGGAAGAAATGACAATTTTTTTTTATTTTTGAGACAGAGTCTCGCTTTGTTGCCCAGGCTAGAGTGAGTGCCATGGCGTCAGCCTAGCTCACAGCAACCTCAAACTCCTGGGCTCAAGCAATCCTGCTGCCTCAGCCTCCCGACTAGCTGGGACTACAGGCATGCGCCACCATGCCCAGCTAATTTTTTCTATATATATTAGTTGGCCAGTTAATTTCTTTCTATTTATAGTAGAGATGGGGTCTCACTCTTGCTCAGGGTGGTTTCGAACTCCTGACCTCAAGCAATCCTTCCGCCTCGGCCTCCCAGAGTGCTAGGATTACAGGCATGAGCCACCGCGCCCGGCCAGAAATGACAATTTGGATTAAAAAAAACAAAGGCTAAAAATTATCCTTGGTCAGTATCATTCAAATGAACACATTTAAATCACCTGTATCTCCTCTGTTGGTAAATTTAGTGAAATCCACATCCTCTGTAACCTTCTTGTTGTTAAAAGCTACTGGCCCTAGGAGGGTAGGTAGTGCCATTGCCTGATGCTATGATACAGAGAACGGCAACCAGTTCCTTAGTCAGAAACAATCTGTTTCATTAGTCGGATTTTACCAGTATTTCAATATGTTTTATTTTTATTGTTATCAACTGAATTTTTTTTTTTTTTGAGACAGAGTCTCACTCTGATGCCCGGGCTCGAGTGCCGTGGCGTCAGCAACCTCAAACTCCTGGGCTCAAGCGATCCTCCTGCCTCAGCCTCCCAGGTAGCTGGGACTACAGGCATGTGCCACCATGCCCAGCTCATTTTTTCTATATATTTTTAGTTGGCCAATTAATTTCTTTCTATTTTTAGTAGAGATGTGGTCTCGCTCTTGCTCAGGCTGGATTCGAACTCCTGACCTTGAGCGATCTGCCCGCCTCAGTGTCCCAGAGTGCTAGGATTACAGGCGTGAGCCACCGTGCCAGACCAACTGAATATCTTAAAAAAATAAAATCCACCTATGCCTTATGAAATTTGGGTGCTACTGTGATAGACGTTCTGGAAAATGTTGAGTTACTTTCTGCCATAGCTGGGAGCCTGGATTGGCCAAATGAAGCTGTGGGTCAGGTGGCGGCTAGGAGGGGCAGGGCGGGCCACACTTGCACACTAGTCTTTTTAAAAGTGCCAGCATCTGCCGGGAAAGGAAGGATGTCACCGTACAGCATGCATCCCAGAGGGCAAACCTTGTCACCTGCTCTTCTGGATTAAAAGCAAGCATTGATTTCATCATGGTCATGATGTCAAAAATTAAACTTTAACATAAAGGTAAATATTATGGGAAAATAAAGTGTTTTCATAGAGCACAGCTGGTTTCTCTTTCATAATCTTTTCATTCTAGCTAATCTCATTTGTTAATTTTTCTTCTCTCTGTCAACCTATAAAGTTTTTTTTTTTTTTTTTGGGTTACACATTTACACATAATGGTACAAAGAGTTATCTACTAATTCACTTACAAACTTCCATAATATGGTGTTATTTTACCTGTTGCCCAAACTGTAGGCAGACCTGGAGAAGAGTAGAACCAAGCAAAGAGGAACCCGAAAGAAGTCTGTAATTTGGGGCACATGATGAGAGTCTTATTCATGAGGGCATTCACGGATGGGACAACAGTATGAGCAGCACAATTCTCCCTGTTGGTTTGTGTGTAGAGGAACGGAAACACACGGTGTTTGGAGCTGGAATACCTAGATTGCAGTTTCTACTCAGCCGCTTCCTAGGGATGTGACTTGACCTTTTCAGTGTGTTTCGCCATTTATAACATGGAGATCGATAAATGACACCTGCTTCATAAAGTGGTGAGGCTTAAATGACGTTATGTGTGTGAAAGCACATTTTTCATTAAAGCTCTGTGTGTGTGTGCATGTCTTGTCTATACCATTGCTTTCTTCTCTTTTCTTCATTGCTAAGGGCATCCTGATTTTATGTGGGGTATTTGATCTTAGCTAATCATTTCTATTCTATTCACTCTCTGCAGTTTATTTATTTTCTTAGTTTCCTTTGCAGCCGTGAGAGCCAGTTCCAGCCAACAAGATATAAGGGGAAGTCAGCCGAGGGTTTCTGGAAGTTTCCTTGTTAAGAAGAAAAGCTGCTGTTCCCACCACCACTGCTGTTCCTTTTTGTTTGGATGCTTAGGAAAGATCCCAATTCTTGGAGCAGTGGCAGCCATCTTGGGGACATGAGGTAAGAAGCATGAGGATAAAAAGCTGACTTGTTGAGAGTAGAGGAACTGGGAAGAGCCTGGTGGTTTTTTTTGTTTGTTTGTTTTTTTTTGACTTCATGGAATTTCTGAACCATCTCAGAACTCTCCTCCCTTCAGGTTCCTAGGTTTGTGAGATGATTAAATGACTGATACCAAACTTATATGTGTTTATGTGGGGCATACACGTGAGGGTGGTACCTTGAGGGCACTGTGGTATCACAGGAAAGAGCACTAAATTTGAGAGTCAAAAGCTGGAGATAACTGGTTCTGAATTAACATTCTGAGCTTTGACTTACTGATCTATAAAATGGGAATAATACCACTTAACCCACAGGGCTATTGGGAGGGCTAAATTAAATAATACAAATAGAAGTCCTTTGCAACTGAACAAGGGCTGTATAGATGTAAGATGCTGTTGGATAGCCTACTTCTCCTAGTGGAGAATGAATGAAGGTGCGCAGGTCAGAATGACTTAAGTGAATTTTGTTCTTGCCAACACGCCCCACCCCCCGCCCCTCTTTGGTGATCTCCACTGAGACATGCTGAAAGGTCTCAAGCTACCCCCTCAATGCCCAGCACCCTCTAGCTCCCCATTTTCCACACTTTGAGAGTCTTTGTTTCTTTTTACAGCTTCTTCTCTCATCTCAATCCTCCAGACAAGAAATGGACTCCTCTTGTGCCCTATGCCCTCGGGCCCAGTTAATTGTTGCTCATCAACCTGGTATGTGTTGGTGTACGCCAGGGACTTCCTCTATTGTCCTTCCTACACAGCAAGTGTCTGTTTTTATGAGGGCCTTAGACTGACCAAGTGACAATAGTAATAGGAATTTCAGGGGGCTATGGCAAGAGGTCAAGGAAAAGCACTTGTCATCTTGGTGCTTCTGGGAGACCCCAGTTGGGAGGGCTATTCAGTATACAACTATTCCCCTCTCTGGGAAGGATCTAATCCACAGGGGTGAATCTCAGTGGCCTCCTCTGTGCTAGGTGACCTTGCCCGTGGCCAGGAGTGGGTGATTGATTCAGGCTGGAGCAATCAAAACCCCAAGGTCTTTAAGATTGGAGTTGGGGAAATAGATTCATCACTCTAGTCATATGTGAGTTCCTGGTTCTGGTTATTTCTAAGGCCCACCTACACCTTTGCCCTTCCTGTAGCAATATGAAACCTTCCCAGTGAACCCTTTTGTCTTGCCTCAACCCCAGGTGCTGAGACAAGGACTTGGTTGCAGGTGGTTTACTTGGGGGATAATCCCAGAGAACACAGCGAGGGAGTGGAGAAGTGAGACAAGGAAAGGAGAAAGCCAATACGGGTATATTAATGAGCAGATCCCAACTGTGGGCAACTGGGGCTCAATCCTGCTGGGGACCTCTGGGAAACTGAAGACCACACCTTGGAATCATCTGCCCAGAGGACAGTGAGGTGGGGACATTTATCACCTGATTTCCATCCCCATTGGTTGAGGTTTGTCGCTAGGGGTGTTCCTCCCTGGCACTTATGGGTCACGTCTGCTGCAGCTGGATGACAGAGAGAGCCCCAGTGCAGAGAAGGAGGAAGCTGACAGTGTACTGGGAATTGTCTACAGTTGCAGGAGAACTCAGGTGAGCAGAGCCCATACTGAGAAAGGCATTGACAGTGTCTGCCACACCCTCTCTGGCCTTAAACTAGTTCACTTTTGGGTTTCTGTCACTTATGACCAACAGAGCCCTGGTTATGCAGCTCACCTGAGATCTTCCTACAGAGGCAGCCATGCCCCCAGTGGGTCAGCCCTGTGTGCAAGGCATTGTTGCCAGGAGCAGTTTCCTCAGCATATACACCATCGGTGGCTACTGATGTGTCGCTGGGGCAAAAGGACCGGACAAAATGTATGAGTTGACTGCAGGGCAAGGAGTCAAAAATGGCTCATAATTATTGTTGGTCCATGGAGTGATGCCATCTTTTGTTTGGTGGAGAGGTCTGAAAACATGGGAATAGCCAAACACTTGGGGAAATATTAAGATGCTCACTATATTCTCTTCTCCAATGTACAAATAGCTCATTTTTGGCACCATATGATCTCAAAACATGATGCCTAAACTGAATTTTTTTTTTTTTTTGAGACAGAGTCTCGCTCTGTTGCCTGGGCTAGAGTGTCGTGGCGTCAGCCTAGCTCACAGTAACCTCAGACTCCTGGGCTCAAGTGATCCTTCTGCCTCAGCCTCCCGAATAGCTGGGACTACAGGCATGCGCCACCATGCCTGGCTAATTATATATATATATTTTTAGTTGTCCAGCTAATTTCTATTTTTTTAGTAGAGACAGGGTCTTGCTCTTGCTCAGGCTGGTCTCAAACTCCTGAGCTCAAACGATCCGCCCGCCTCAGCCTCCCAGAGTGCTAGGATTACAGGAGTGAGCCACCGCACCTGGCCTAAACTGAATTTTAAAGACATGATTCTTTTAATCAGCACATGAATAGAACTTAATGTTGAACCCCAAACTAAAATGAACCGCAATTATCTGCTGACCTCCTAAACTCCCAGAAAGTTGGTTTTCTTTTCACAGACACGAAAACGGCCAACTGTTTCCATCTGAACTGCATTCAGCTGCAGGGAACAGAAACCTGACTTCAGGGACTCATACAAATCCGAGCTGCTTTTGCTCATAGAGCAAGAAGACTGGCAGGCCACGGTTGCTGGTAAGAGTTCAGTGGCTTGAGCATGCTGTCAGCAACTCAGATGTGGGGCCCACTTTCATCCAGTGGATGGATTTTAAGTCTGTCTACTCTGGTTAATCCTTCTACTGAAGGGAAGTTCTATGTAAAAGTCATTTCAGAGGCTGGCGAAGTTAAAAAAAAAACAATTAAAAGTAGTGTTAAAAATAGTGAGCATGTGTCTTAGGGTTTGGCAGTGTTGCGTTTAAAAAACGTTTTGCCTCGTACCTGGTCCTGGCTCTTGTCATATTTAAAATAGACATTTCCTCTTTGTTTTGTTTGTTCTGTTGTCTCCTGTGCTCTGGGGTCAAAAGAACTGTTGCCAGTAGAGATGGGAGAACACAGTGAGCAGGACTCTGGGCCCTGGAACCACACTGGCCTATCGATCTTCCACCATTTTTGACCTACAGAGAGGGCAGGAGTTCGAAACCAGCCTGAGGAAGAGCGAGACCCTGTCTCTACTAAAGATAGAAAGAAATAGAAAGAATACTAAAATTAGAAAGAAATAGAAGGAAATTAATTGGTCAACTAAAAATATATAGAAAAAATTAGCTGGGCATGGTGGCGCATGCCTGTAGTCCCAGCTACTGGGGAGGCTGAGGCTTAGGAGGCTGTCATATAGTTCAATTTAATAGGATGATTATCATCATTTGGTGACTATCTGTTGAGTGCTGATTATTAAATAACTTTAACAGCTCCCAAGTGACCAAGCTGGGATTCAAACACTGTTTGGTGGCAGTGCCCCTGCGTAGAAGCACAGAGCCATGCTACCTCCCCCCAGTTTTTGTTAAACACTCCTCATCTTCTGGCCTCCAGGTAATAAAGCTAAAGATAGGCTTTTCTTACTTTTCGAACTTGGCTATACGCCCTCAGAATATGTGAGAAAATGCAGCCGGCATCTTCCAGAAGATTAGGAGGGCAGTGAGATATCGTAGCTACCTCCTGGCTGACATTTGAGCCCTGCTTTCGGCACGGTCAAGCCTTTCGGAGGCAGCCGGTGTATGGCTTGTATCAAACTCTATATTTAGGAAGAACAACTGTGAGCTATGACAGGAATTCTCTTTAACACTTAGCCTTCAACTGAGTTCCCCTCCAGCCCCGAGCCAGGAGCAGCTCTCAGTACTGGGAGAGGCACAGAGCACTCGAGCTATTTCAGCCACATGAAAAGCATCGGAATTGAGATCGCAGCTCAGAGGACACCGGGCATCCCTTCCACCCTCCAAGGAGCTTTGTCTTCTTGCACCTGGCTGCTTGGGACTTTCCTTAGGCAGTAAACAAATACCTAAAGCAGGTAAGCGGAAGGATCCAGCTGCGGCAACTGGGCTTTCTAAAGCAAATTTCCTTGATACTTAACATGGAGTGACTACTTATAACTTTGTAGGCTTGTAACCAGTGGGTGTGTAGCTTCCTTGTAAATTCACTGTTCATTGGTGGTATTGCTGCTTCTGTTTTATAAATTGTGAGAGATGGGGGTGCTGAAAGAATATTGAGCTAAAGGCAGTTTTCATCGACAGTGACATTAACAAAATGTTCACAGTCTAGATATGATAACTGTGACCTTGAAGCTGTGCTGGCCAGGATTACAGTTGGTCAGCTGCAGACTGATTCAGGCTCTAAGCCGAGAAATAATCAGGAGAATTTGGGGCAGAGTAAACCTATGATGCTAGTTCTTTGGGCTACTTAAATGCAAATTATTGCCAGAGTTTGTACACAGTACAAGTTTAAAGTGCCTTTTTCCTTTCCTAAAGCACCAGGCTTGGTCTCAATGACAAAGTTCTATCAGCGTCTTGTACATAGATAGAACCATCTTTTCAAAAGCTTCACTCTGGTCACAATTTTCCTGTCCTCAGCAGGGTAGAGGGCAGCACTCATGTCCCCTTCTATGTGGCCACCAGGTTCTGAACCATGGGAATGCCAAGAGTAACTCTTCCCTCTCAGCGTATTTAAGGCAGAGTGAATAAGGAGTTAGTCAGTTCGGACAGCTGAACATCTTTCTGCACCCTTCTCAGGAATTATTTTTAGCTGCAGGACAGAAGATAATTCCTTTCGAGATGGAGCTTTATCCATTTGTTTGACCTTTAAAAAGAATTAACAAAGCCTTTCCCTCCAAATATTGATTGATTTTCCTCTGAATCCCTTCATATTAAGTTCATGATATTACTGTTGGCAAATTTTTAGTAAGTCAGAGAGTTTTATTTAGAAGTCAGATATTAGGGCTGCCCACTGAAAAACAAGCAGCAGTATGTTGTACACGACTCAGCATACAGACCATTAAAGATCTCCACTGACATGCAGAACTTGCAGGAAAACTCACCGGTGTTCAGCCGGCAAGCATTTCCATTATATTACAGGCTTCGTAAAAGTCAATATATGCCTTGTCAAACTTGCCACGTTTCCAAATTTCAGCCAGAACCAGGAGACATAGTAATTGAGTGCTGTAAAGAGTACCTCTTTGGATGAAAAGCAGTGGCCCCGGTGGGAGTGGAGTGTGTATCTAAGGCATAGTTTGCTTTTTTGGTCCCAAGATGAAGCAGGCAGATGAAGAAAGAAGGTGCGTGCTACACTCTACATCCCTGATGAAGGTGAACGCAGGGCCAGGGAAACAGCCAGGGAACACTGTCTATTTTTATTCATCAGTGTGCTTTGCCCTGATTCTCTGCGAATAATGAGGACAGCAGGAACTGCTGCTGAACTGATTTACACAAATGTTATCTAGCCTGTTTGTGAGCATTGAGAGCTGGGATCTGACCAACTTTCTATAGATGTCTCTTTCGAAGATTGACATGTATGTTAAGAGATATGTATGCAAATGAGAATATATCAAAACTGTTTAGGAGACAAGGCCCATCCAGCCGTTAGGCTCAGAGGGCTACAAAAAACAAAGCAACCCAGTAGTTTGTGCAATCAGCTCAGTAAAAAAACCAAAATCAGCTTATTTAAAAAATCAATGCAATATAAATAACATAACCATTCATTGCCTAATTTTTTTACATTTCAACCTGTTATTGTCATGGCATAACAAAATTTCCTAATCTCCATTTCAAATCGATGTACAATAACTTTTTAAAAAGTTTCCAAGTGATATTAAACTTTAGTTGTACATACACAGAGAATACTATATACAGAGATATTTAAAGTCCTGTGAAAATTATTGCTTTGCTGGATTTCTAATAGCTTTTGAGGAATAGAAACATTAAAAATTAAGTCACCAAGCTTTTCTTTTTGGAATTGAGCTGTGTGTCCTAGAACCAAAAATAAAAAACCCTTCATTTCTCTTTGACATTGCAGGAAAGACAGCAATCTATTTCAAACATATCATGGAGTAAAATGCATCCCTGATTGTTCAATTTGTTGTTGTGTTTTAATTTTTTAACCAGGGCTGGGCATGATGGCCCATGCCTGTAATCCTAGCACTTTGGGAAGCTGAAGTGGAAGGATCACTTGAGGCCAGGTGTTTGAGACTAGCCTGGGCAACATACAAAAAATATTTTTAAAAATTAGTCAGGCATGGTGGCAGGTGCCTGTAGTACTAGCTACTTGGGAGGCTGAGGCAGAAGGATTGCTTGAGCCCAGGAGTTTGAATTTGCTGTGAGGTAGGCTGACACCATGGCACTCTAGCCTGGGCAACAGAGTGAGACTCTGTCTCAAGAAAAACTTTTTAAACCATATTAAAAATAATTCTACCTAGCCTTTAATGCATGGAAACTATATCTAAATATATTACCAAGACATTCAGGTGAAACTTTTTAAAACAGTCTCATTGTTTTCATGTACATGGCTCCAAAAATTATATATTTGGATATACTAATTATAGAGGTTTTTTAAAAAAATATGCCATTGTTTAAATGTAATAGAGCCTAAGACTTTGAAGATCTCAAAAAAACTTAAGTTTTTCACAGAATTCTTCTCAGATCTTTTATCTCTCTAGGTGTTGAGAAATATCACTACCTCAATTCTTACTCTGAACTTAAAGCTGCAGATCAGTACAGCACTCAAAAGTGACAAGCTGTGGATGATGGCAGTAAACAATAAATATTTGCATCACGCTTTATAGTTCACAAGGCCTTTTCAGGAGCATTATGTCATTTTAATTCTTACCACAACATGTGAAGCAGGTAAAATTAAAAGAAGAGGAAATGGGCCTAGAAATGAAATGTTGAGTGACATTGCCCAGGTTTCACAGGACCTGTGGCAAATGCCAGCACTGCTCTCTGGGTTCATTCATTCACCGGTTAACATATATCCTCACACCAGTCAAGAGAGAGAACTCAGTCAACCTATTTTATAGTTTGGGTTTAAAACACAGCATATTTTTAATTCAATGAATTTTTAACTTTTCAGTTAGTCCTGTTAACATTTAATAGACCAAGCTATAAAAACAGACCAGAGCTGGGCTATTCCCTGTTCCCCTAGCCCCAATAAATCATGGCCTACATCCCCAAGTGTGCTCTAAGGCAGGTCTCACGTGCTGAAAGAAAACAAACATCCTTTGGGAAGGAAGCACTTGTCCATCTTGGGGATCTGGCAGGGTCCCTTGTAAGTCCCACTACCCTCCTTGAAACAAAAGCAAGCAGGTGAGGCTTGCTGCCTGCCTGTGTTTACATAGGGTGGGCTTTGTGTAGGGGAACACACAGAGGCCTCTCCCAGGATGCTGGGCAGACATGGCGGCAGTAAGGAAGTGGTACGGGCCATTTCTCTGTGGGCCTGTTCAGTGGAGAGGAAGTACTCCCAGTGGACTGACTCGCAGCCCTGGCAATAATGAATTCAGATCAAAAATTCAGTTTCAAGCTGAGAGCTTCTGAGGCCGGAACAAAGGTGTTTTATTCCCACAACCTCTTTGCTTTGCTGCTCTTGGCAGAGGGTCAGGAGGGCAGGGAAGGAGATGATAGCGCCTTTCAAGTTTCTGATTGCATATCATTAGCATCAGGGGCGAGGCATCTCAGCATTTCTCCTTCTGAATGATTTATCCTGGCGCTCTAGTGTTCCCTCCCGCCCCTCACCCCCCAGGCATTAGGAAGGAGAGTCTCTAAGTAACTTCGGAAACTGAGACTGAAAGAATATATGGCCAGTGAAAGGGGTGACTATCCAGTTGAATCATGAGTTAAATTCTAATTTATCAAGACCGAGGATCTGAATGCTGCCACCTCTAACAGTTTCTTACTTGTTTTTTTAGGGATAAGACTGCTTGAATATGTCGAAACAGCCAGTTTCCAATGTCAGAGCCATCCAGGTAAGTAGGTATATTTGTGTTTTAACATCAGCTCTGCAACTTCTTGCCTGATTGCTTAATAAGTCATACTTTTTGTGATTGTTCACCCTTAACTGATGATTAACTTCAAGAAGAAAAGGAAATTCCTCTTTAAAAGACTTGTAAGGTACAATTCAGGAAGGATGTAAGACCAATTAGGTACAACTGAGAAAGGAGAAGCTATTTTTGTTTAATTGTCCTGAATTGTAAGACAATCAAAGTTTACAAATGAGAATTAGATTATCTTCTACAAGAATGTAGTGTGTATGTTTTTTGATATGTATACTTTTGATATGCTGATTAATAGAGAATAATATATTCAATTTCCATTTTTTGTATCCAATTGATATATGCATATATCAATGGGTCACAGTTTGTTTACCCATCTGTTTAAAATACATATTTCTTTAAATAATATCCTTTTGTAGTTAAGTGTTCTTCCCAAGGCTTGGGTATTTATCTTCTAAAGTCCCTATGCTATTAGTTTTCCTCATACTCTCCCAGCAAACAAATTCTTTGGTTGTTTAAATTGACTTAAGTGTCACCCACAAAAAGGGAAAGGGGAAGCAGACATCTTGAAACAAAAATATAATTATGAAAATATCTTTCAGTATTTGTTTTTACTCAAAACTTAATTTGTTATTTCTCTTAAGGACTCTATATTTGACTCTCAAATGGCTCCTACCCTGAGGCACCGGGCACAATGCTTTTATTGTAAAATTCCATCTCTCCTTTCCATCAACATGGAGCCCATCTGTGCTTTCTCCAGAGGAACTTTATTTTTTCTTCCTGGACTTTTCTGAATACTGCAGGACATGAGGCAGTTCCTGAATATTTTAGGTCTGATGCATCATCCCAGCACAAACACAATCACAAATGCTTGACCATATTTTGGAGGGGCGTGCGTGTGGCTAGGTTATGAACACATCATAGGAGGTTTTAGAAATCCTGGCACACACTGCTGGTAGACGTGGGTGGAGGGACAGATCATTACCTGTCATAACTAATGCATATCCTTAAATTGGAGGGGTTCTTAAGTGGCAGGATGTATACCAACCTCTGGAAACTTGTTATTGAACAAACCACCAAGGAAGGGTCTATGCATTTGGTGAGGATTCCACTCGGCATTGTCACATTTAGCTCTCTGGTGTCTACCTAGTGAGTCTTTGACATACCCCGACAGTGGTAGTGGACTTTATTTTGTTTCCCAGACCTGTGACATCATTGAACTTTTGAATCTTCTCTTTTACCAAGTGTATAAGCAGTTAGTAGCACGGGCTCTGAAATCTGATTGCTGGGGTCTATAATCCATCTTGTACTGGTGTAAGATCATGGGAAAATTACTTTACCTATTTTACCTCTCTGTGCCTCCATTTCTACATCTGTAAAATGGAGATAATAGTAGTACTCATCTGCTAGGGCTACATGTATCAGGTGCTTAAAACAGCATAGTAAGCACTAATTGATGGTCAACCATTATTATAATTATTATTCAGGAATGTTTTAAAGTTATGAGAAGTAATGCCATTTAATCATTGCATTTGAAGCTCCTAAAGTACAAAACATAAAATTTCCTTTGTATTTTCCAGGGTACAAAATCCATCTTCTCTTGGGCTGCCTTTGCTTCTCTTCCTTCTATAGCTGAAAGTGTGTTTATTTTTCTTCCTTAGTGTTCCCTGGCCTCTCTAAAATCTACACTGAAAATTTACCAGTATTTTGTTTATGAATTTTGACCTTGATATATTTTTAGAGCTGTATTATTTTAAAAGCTGCTATTGACTATTCTCAATAGCTCTTATTATACTGCATTACAAAAAAATCCATCCATTCTACCAACCAAGGCAATACAGTGGTTCCTTGTGGATGTGGTATTGCCTCTTTCAATATATTTTATGCCACACAAAAAGCCCAATTTAATGTACCTTCAAAGGAAATATTATTTCTTGTGGCTAAATAGGATTGGCACTATCTGATATTTTCCTATCATCTTTGCATTAACTTTAAGTAGTGTACATTAAATAAAACATGAAAATGGTTACACTATACAAAATGGTTTTTAGTAGGAACATCATCTAGGTTACAGTCCTGTCTGGAACAAATAGAGACCCCTGATTGATGAGGGACTACCTTCATTGTGTAAATACCACTTAAAGTTCTTAAATGTTCTACTCAATACTCTAGTCACTTCTTTGTATTAGGACCTTATCTTCCATTCAGTTCAACTGTCGTTTCTTGGATGCATAATATATGTCAGGCACTGTCCTAAGTGTAGGGTTTACAAAGATGAATTGATACCTGATCCCTATGTTTGAGGAACTCATGGTCTTTTTAGTACTTAATAGTTGCATGACTTTGGACAAGTTGTTAGCCTCTTTGTGCCTCAGTTTCCTCATCTGTCAAGAGAGGAATTAATAACAATCTTTATCTCATAGGATTGCTGTGAGTGTTAAATGAATTTAATACATGTAAATACTTAGGCCAGTGCCTGGCTCACTGTAATTGCTTAATAAACATTAGCTGATATCATCAATTACCACCATCATCATCTAGTTCAACAGTTCCCAAAGTGTGTCCCTTGGGATACTAGTTTTATGGGATGTTGTTGATTAGATTAAAGGTTCCCATGATTAAATATTTGGGAAAATTTCTCAGAGTCTATAACTTGCGAATAGCATCATGTTATTTCCAAAAGGGTGGAAACATATGTAAGGTTTTCTAAACATACCAGACCTTTTCAGTGAGTATCTTACAGGATAGTGTTTTGCAGTGCAAACTTCTAGAAATAATGAGTTAGATCTCTATCTCTATTTTGTCTGGCTTGGGTGAACTTAAGCCACTTTAGACCACACTTCTAACAGTCAGGTATTTCAGGAATTGAATTAATGCACCTGTGTGTGTTAGACAACATGAAGTCAAACAGTTAACAAATCTCTGTGGCTTTAGTTCATCCTTAGTTTACCTTTCTGCAAAATGGGGACAATCATACTACTTAATAGGGCTGTTATAATGAATAAGCAAAATAATGTATGGCAAGTGCCTGGTTTATAGTACACAGTTTCCTTAAGAGAGGGCTCTTCTAACTCTCCAAGTAATGCATGGAATGGGCTTGATTCCTCTTCAGCTGATTCCATCTTCTTCATGCACCAGAATAAGAGGGAGGCCAGGACTAGACCAACCCTTAGAAAATATAGACAACTGTCTTTCACATCCACACTGAAGAAGGGATGGCCTTTGTATTGTAAGGGGATTTTAACTCTATACTTCTTTTCAGATGTATTAATTAAATCTCAGCCAAAGGCATAACAACATCCTGAAGGAATCAGTTAATTCTTACTTGGTCTGGAGAGGGCCTTTGTCTCCTAAGCAGCTGATAAAGGTCTATACCAGAGGTTGGCAAACTCTTTCTGTAAAGGACCAGATCGTAAATATTTTAAGCTTTGTGAGTTCTTTGGTCTGTTCCAACTACTCAACTCTGCTGTTATACCATAAAAGCAGCCATGGGGAATATGTAAATGAATGAATATGGATATGTTCCAATGAAATGTTATTTACAAAATCAGGTGGTGGGCTGGATTTGGCTCGTGAGCTTAGTTTGCCAATCCTGGTTCTAGACTCTCCAGACTGCTTCTTATATACACCACTGTTGATAGGAATACAGTTGTAACCAAGGTAACATCAACACACTAAGCATACTGGAGCTGCTCCCTCCTGATGAAAGAATTTGACATGACAGGTGGTAGGGAAAGTTAGAACCGCTGGGAAATCTAATCCCATCAGCGATCTGTTTGGTGACTCTCTCTAATGAGAATAAGTGACACCGGCCACTGGCAGCACCTGCCTGTCCTTCCTCTTCCTCCTGAACACATCCCCTTTGGGAACCACCAAAGGCCTCCAGAGGGCCTCAGTTTACACAGAGCCAATCTTCTCTGTGTTGTCACTGGTCCTTTCTCTCCACAATTGACCACAGTAAGCTGAGTATCTATTATGTGTCCTCTCCTGTGAGATCTCAGAGCTTAATGGCTGACTGGAAAGAATCCTGTGCCCTAGTCTTAGCTCTGCTATGTGACTTCACGCCCCTGGTCCTTGTGATCTGCAAAGGGAAAGGTGTTGGGTTATATGACCTCCAAGCCTCTTCTAGCTTCTAATAGTCTATATATTTCTTGAGAATAACTTCCAAGGTTTATTATTAGGATGATAATAATAGTTACAGTTTATTCAGGGTTTACCATATACCTGGCCCAATGCAGTGGGATTTCTGGGGATCATAATGTTAGGTTTGGAGAAACAAAATAACTCACCTAGGATTACACAGCTTGTAACTGGGAGAGTCAGGACCCAAACTCAGTTGTTCAGTCTGATCCTAAAGGCTATGTTTGGAACCTCTTGGCAATGCTGTCTAATCTCATTACTTAACTATCTCCACTTTGGCATAGAGCATGAGACTGTAGGAGTGGATGTGGGCCATCTCAAGGGTAATCATAAGTACCAGCGGGCGTGGTAGCTCACACCTGTAATCCTAGCACTCTGGGAGGCCGAGGCAGGCGGATTGCTTGAGGTCAGGAGTTCGAAACTAGCCTGAGCAAGAGCGAGACCCCGTCTCTACTATAAAATAGAAAGAAATTAATTGGCCAACTAATATATATAGAAAATATTGGCCGGGCATGGTGGTGCAAGCCTGTAGTCCCAGCTACTCGGGAGGCTGAGGCAGAAGGATTGCTTGAGCCCAGGAGTTTGAGGTTGCTGTGAGCTAGGCTGACGCCACGGCACTCACTCTAGCCAGGGCAACAAAGCGAGACTCTGTCTCATTAAAAAAAAAAAAAAAATCATAAGTACCAAGGCTACCTGAGGAACAATTACCATTTTATGGATGTCAGCTCCTCCCTTTTAAAGAACTCAACCAAACATTTAGAAACAGTGTCAGCATTTCACTGAAGAAGTTGATAGCCCACACTGATTAAAGGCAATTTAAAATTAAGTTGGCT